CACACACACACACAGAATTAAATCTGTCTACAGATGCGGACACAGTCATGGGCGGCTGGAACTTGGCCCAGCAGCACGGAAGCACAAAGTCAGCACGCTTGGTGTTCTGCGTTTATGATGCACCTTTTACTGCATCTGCTGCAGGTGCCGAGGACACAAACGTCAGGGCAGCTCCTGCCCCCCAAGGAGCTCGGATCCCAGGGAGTGTGCGCAGGTTCAGCAGCCACCACCAAGTAGGGGCAGACCCGGCATGGGGGGAGGGGGCCTTGCCTGGTGCTCCCTGGGGGGGGCACAGGGTGGGGTGGTGGTGGGTGCAGGGCCGGAAGCAGGTGGCGAGAAGTCAGGCAGGGATGGGGCAGAAGCTCAGGCCAAGAGCGGCACACAGGGCCTGAGAGCAGCTGACGCTGACCGACGGGGAGGGATCCCGAAGAGGGAAGCGGGAGGCAGGGGTATGATGGACAAGAAGAGTCTGGAGATGGCGGCAGCTGGGGACTCACGGACTTAGGGGGCAGGCAGGCTGTTTGGGCTTCTAGCCTGAATAGCTGGTGAAGTGACACAAGCAGCGGAATAGCAAATGGAGGAGGGGAGGCTAGTGCTGAGGGTCCCTGGGGTGGGGGCACCACGGGGGAGTGAAGGATGCTGGGGCCGGAGGAGCAGGGCCTGGATGGCCGTGGGCGGTACCCCTGCTGCCGCTGCGTCTGGCAGGGTGGGCCTGAGGGAGGCTGTGAGTGGCTAGTGGTGAAAGACTGGACCTCGACTCAGTTCCAGCACCTGCCGAGCTCGGTTCACAGGGATGGTTCCTTTACTCAGCAGCAGTGTGGGCACCCCCAGGGGGCAGGCGGCCTCCTCTGCACACAGGCTCCAAGCAAACAAAACAAACATGCGCCCACCTCATGCCCCGTACCCAGCTTGGGTGGTGCATGGAGAGGATCAGAGGCCGTGGAGCACCTGCCCATGCTGGGGGAAGCCGCTGAGGACTGGGCCAGGCATGTAAGGGAAGCAGTGAGCTCGCGGCCACACGGTGTATCCCATCCCAGGCCCTGGGCCCTAAAGATAGGAAGGTCCCCACCACCGCCGCACAGCTGCCACTCACGACACTGCGTCAACTCCAAATAGCCAGTATTAATAATAACGTGGTGTAGAGGTGGGGGCGGCGGCCCCAGGACAGGCGGAGCTGGGAGAGCTTCCCTAAAGAGTGAAGGCTGCAAAGCCATGGCCCAGAGCTGGGATGGGGGCCAGGGTCAGGGCGGGGTCAGGGCTGCAGCTCGGGCTGGAGCTGAGGCTGGATGGGCCACAGGGCACCTCTGGGGCTGTCTCTGCTGCTGCAGGGTGAGAGGCCAGCTAGGCCTTGGCACAGTGCGGATGCTGGGCCGACACCCCTGACTGCGGCCCTCACTCCGGTCCCCACTGCCAGTCAGCGCCGCCCTCATCCTGGCTCCACCTGCCACTCTAGTCTGCCCACCTGGGCACAGAAGCCGGCCTGTCCCCACAGGTGTTCCTGCTTTCTTTCTGCTATTTCTCTAATGAATGAAAAGTGAAGATGGAGACTGCGAAGAAAACACGGTTATCCTCTCTAGTCTCCACGGCATCACTTTCTCACTAGATTTGCTTTGATTTCCTTACATCATGATGGAAATGTCAGTAATGCTCTTCACTTTCTCAACAGGTGGAGCTGCATGGCCCCCAACAGTGCCTTACATCCTACATTTCATCCGGGACGTCCCACAGCTTCCCAGCTCTGGTTCCAGTGGCCACTTGAGCCATCATTGTCCCTGCCGTGACGACCCTTGAGGGCTCCGAGGAGATCCTGGGCATGCTTGGGGACGAGGAGTGAGGCTTCCTGTGAACCCCGCAGAGCCGGCCGGGGCAGCCCTGATGCTCCACTGAGTCTGGTTCATGCTGGGCTCCTGACCACCGTGTTCACCATGGTGGCCCTCACAGATATCCAAAAGCTTCTCAGTGGCCATACAGTGTCCCGTATCCTACTGTGGGCTGAAAGCTCAGACAGCTTCACTTTAGGAAGCCAGGAGTGACCCTCATGATGTAGATTTCCCAAAGAGGGGGTTGCCATGAACAGGCCATGTGAGTGAGAGGTTACCAAGGCCTCTGGACAAGACTTGAAATTCTCAAAGCGCCACTGCTGCTTCCAGCTGGCCATGCGCTAAAGACTCTGCCACCCGCACTCCAAGCTGGGGCCCTGTGCTCCATCGGCCTGGCCTCCTCTCAGGGTGGGCTCTCAGCCAGCATGCCCCTGACCAGTGCCCTGCTGTCCTCTGAAGGACCCTCCACAGGGCATCCACTGGTGACTCAAGTTGGAGCCTAGAAACATCACTGAGTAGCTGCTGAAGTTGCAGGCCCCGTCCCCTCTGTGAGGTGGGAAGGTCTGTGGTGGGGCCCAGGAACCAGCATTGGGATGCCAGGGGGCTCCTGTCACCAAGATGCAGCCCAGAGCCGTGCACCTGCCACAAGAGAGTCTCGCAGTGTCCTTGGGAGCCGGTGCAGACAGTGAAGCGGGGTGGGCTGAACAGAAAGCTGGGCTGCACCCAGAACCTGACAACTCCATCCTTCTGGTCCCAGTGCTAACCGTGGCTGCTCCGGGAGCCTCCGAAAATGATCCCAAGTCATCTCAACTGGTGACAAAAGGCTGCCAACCGGTGGTGGTCTCGGCCAGTCTATCTACACCACTCATCTCCTCCATGCCCTCTGTCAATTCCAGGCCTTTTCCCACCACATTACAAACGCAAATTACGTGGCTGTAAAGACCGGGGTGCCTCTCTTCTGAAGGGACCTTGGGTCACCAAGAGGCTGCCTTTCCAAGATAAACGTTCAGATTCCAACCAAAGTCTTCCCTGGGGTCCTCGATGTGAGCAAGGGTGCATCTCCACAGCAGAGCAGACTGGGACCACCCAGTCTGGGACCAGTTAAAGGGAAACCTCAGGAGGGGGCCTCGGAGGGCGGTGGAGAGACCTGAATTCCAGAGGACAGACGTGAAGCTGCACACAGCCCTTTCATCTTGCAGCAAATCCAATCACCTTGGTGAGGCTGATGACTGTGCCCCTTCCCCTCTGCACCTGGCTGTGCCTGCAGGTCCTGAAGTCAGCACAGCGATGGGGGAGGCGGGCCACGGGGTCCCTGTCAAAGCCTGCAGATTCCTAAGCTCACCTAACTTTGCAGACCCTTCACGGATTCCAGCAGTTTCCCACAATCTCAGGTTTCACAGCAATTCTGTGAGGCCCCCAGGGGAGGGCTTCCCTCATTTCACAGACGGTGTGGGGGTTCTTGGGGAAACCCAGTGTGAAAGTTTGAGCCATGGATGCTGGGACCCCTGCACAGCCTGGTGAAATCGGGGACACCGGGACCCCTGCACAGCCTGGTGAAATCGGGGACACCGGGACCCCGACCCCTCACAGCCTGGGTGAAAATCGGGACACCGGACCCCGTGCACAGCCTGGTGGAAATCGGGCGAACACCCGGACCCCTGCACAGCCTGGTGGAAGTTGGGACCTGGGAGGGCGGGGCTGGGCCCCACAGGATGGGGGAAGGGGCTGGAGATGTCCTGAGGGAGCCTTAAAACCCACCGTCTCCTGCCCACCTAGCTGCCAGCTGGCCCCAGAGTCCTCACTGCCCCCCTCCAGGGCTGAGGGCCTCCGCAGGCTCCCGGTGTCCTGTCCCCCCAGGCTACCCACGGAGGTTGCAGAACTCAGGTAATGCCTGGCTGTGTGCATTTCCGCTCTCACGACCAGGCCCAGCGAACACCTCCCCTCCAGCAGTTGCATGTTAGGAACCCCCCAGGGCTAGGGCATCCTCCTCAGGTCCAGCATCCAGCACCCACCTGGCCATGTCGCCGGTCTCCTGGCCCTGCCAGGGAGGGGCACACCGTACACTCTGCAGCCTGCAGCCCTGGGGACCTCAGCTTCTATTTTGGTGGCCAGCGTTGCCGTCCCCGTGGCCAC